AACGTTACTGTTCCAGTTCCTTTTGAAGAGTGAAATTATTTTTGTTCTTGGAGTGTTCCATCCAACATAGTCATTATGGTTACAATCGCCTGATTTTAATTAATACCTATCAAGTTATAGATGTTATACACGCCGTTGCATGCACACACACACACAAAAACATCCAGTAATTTGTGAATTCTGTTCGGACGATAAAGAAATATCTAATTTGATAAGAATCACTCTATAAATTATCAAAAATGTGGAACAAACTTCCTCAGATACTACCATTTCAGAAACATTGCGATATTGACCATGGAATAATGTTAACAACCAACCCAATGTAATACAATGCAATTTTCACAGTGCATACCACACTGTTGATTTAATCTCTCAGGTGTGTTAGAGCCGATAATCACATCGCGACATGACTAACAAACCTACAGCTCAGCAGATTTTAATAACTTACCTTTTAATAAGAAAACAAGATTTATGGATGTCTACTTCTTTATTGTGAATAACACGGTTTCGAGCATATGCTTGCTCCTTCATCAGGTGAAAATCAGTAATGCATTCCACTTCTTAATGCCCATCAAAGATTTAACTTACTTCCAGAGACTTCTTTAAGAGGCATAAGGCCAAGGCAGTAGGCCTTGTTAATTGGTGACTCTTAACTGCCTTGACTCACTCATCAATCAACAAGGGATTAGGTCCTGGGGCGCAAAGAACAATAATTTACCATCACCCACCAGTTATCTCCTTTGTGGACATTTCCAAAATTGTACATTTTGAAATCTCATATTTCCAAAATTGGAAACATTGTTCTTGAATATGTCATGCTTTTTGCATATTTCATGCAATTCCAACAGCAACTGTTTGACTCATGCTATTCATTTTAACACATCCTTGCACTTTGCTATTGCTAAAAGACTCTGAAAAATTTACTTAGGTAAATAGGTAAATACAGTTTTAGCACACAGCAAATGCTTATATGTATTTCTTTGCAACAATGAAGTTCTGTCCGTATTCTCAAAATAGTGTCGCCCATAGGTTTTCACATGCAATTAAAATTGCATGCAGTACAGCAATTAATACTCCCTTGTTGTAACCCATGTTAGGTGGTATAAACTCACACATGTCATTTGTCATCATTCACTTGATGGTCAGTTAATGAATTTATAACAGGTATAATTAGTGGTAACACCACTTCTAGATAACCCGACAAAGGTTCCCATTTTGCATTTCTTGTGTCTGGAGTAAATACTCAACAGTATAAACATCGATCAAAGGATTAACCCATACTTTTATCTTTACACAGCGGATTTGTCAAAAGGTAGTGTTTATGTATGTACATTTACTAATCAATACTAAATACACTCTGTCGTGGTTCTGTGTTCAAGTGAAACAACTTCCTTCTTTCAAAGGATTAACCGCCAAGACATTGATTCTCATTATTGGCTAACTAAATTACTTTTTTGTAAAGAATGGCGGAGATTATGCAATTAGTTCCCAGGTATGCTATCTTGGGTGACCAATGCGACTATATACCAATGTGAAATACCTGAAACGATATATCACTTTTCGTGAACATGTATTAGACTGTTAAAAGACACATCATTTGGAACAGCTGCAGGTGAATGGCATACCGGCTCGCTTTTTGTGGATATTGATGGATACATTCCTAACAAAGTAATAGCCTGGCATCATTATAACTACCTGTTTTAGTTTTAATAATTGCATTTTGTTTTTATTCATTTGTCGCAGCATTCCACAGAATCCATGATTTCGCCGTGAAGTAATGAGACAGACAACATACACTAGGGCGCAGGTGCGAATTATGATTTACAATGTCTAGATATTCAAGTGATAAGTAAAGGCAGATCGCCTGTTAATAAACTAATTAGGATGATAAGACCAAATAGAAAGACGCACGCTGACTAGTATCTACATACTGGTGAGAGTGGACATTAACCATGGGAATGTAGCAAAATATTTATTGGCGCAGTATGTCACTTCGACCCCCACCTCGCCTCGAGGAAGAAATCGTTATGTTATAAGTTGTGTCATGCCAAATCCTGTTTGCCAATACATATTTAACTACTTAGTAGAAAGTAGTTTTGCTTTTCTAACTTGATGAAAACAAACCATAATCTCATTAATTCTTTAACAGACTTTAGCCCGCCATGTTACGATTATTAAAATGGCAGCGCACTGTCGCGAACATCCGCGAAGTCTGAGAATAAATGCTATTTAGGTTTGTTTTCACCGAAGTTACAAAATCAAAACTACTTTCTACTGGTAGTACAATATGTATTTAATTGATGTCCAATAGGATTTATGCGACATATCTTATATCATAACAATTTCTCTCGAGGAAGCGAGGTGGTGTCGATATAACACTACTTACAATATTATTGTCACTTCCACCACCTAATTCGCCTCGCCTGAAAGAAATCTTTATGTAAGTTGTGTCATGGAAAATATGTTTGGTCATCAATCATATATATATTGTACTACAAGTAGTAAGTAGTTTGATTCTTTAACTTCACGGGGTTTATCTGGACAAATTTAAGATATCGCTCCAAGCTTCCACAACGCTTTGTTTCAAGACTCACAAACCTAACTCATTTACTAAATGATTTAGCACTTAACTGCGGGTCCCTGGAAACTAGTGCATGGTGACACCATCACTTCGAATTCCCAGGACGGGCAACGAACGATTGACAGCAACGCAACGATTCGCTTTTGCTTTGAGTAAGTTTCGTTGTTCAGACCATCCTTTAATGTTGGAATAAGGGCTTAAAAGTAAATATAAAACAACATGAGTGATTCTACCCTCTGTGTATTGTACTTACCATTGAATCAGAGTACCAATTCTTTATTGAATGTTCATTTTACTGTGATCTGAGAAACAGCCTTCTCCCACAATACTACATAAATAATCCATGTGAAACATTGACAAAAAGAGCTAAGTTTTTAATATAGAGTATAAAGATTAAATTAGACATTGTACACGCTAGCATACAGCCATATATTATATATATGGCGCTGGACTGTATTTTCATCTTTATAATTGTAAAACGGGTCGGTGGCCCTTTGTACCAAATTAACTCTCACTGACTAGATATAAGCTTATGATGATACATATTTAAACTCAACGGACAAATTCACTTTTCACCCACAACATTGAACACTTAAAATGTGTTCACTGCAATTTCGACTAGTCAAGTCGATAATCCTTTCGCTAACCCCTTAAACAAACATTACTAAAACAACACCAAACATCAAAGACTACCGCCAGTCGCCTTTAATCCACCCCATGAAACACTCATGCCCCATGCCACTATTGCAATTAGCCCATGCAGAACAATAATTTACCATCACCCACCAGTTATCTCCCCTTGCGGATATTTCCAAGATTGGAAAGTTTTGAAACATCATCTTTCCAAAATTGGAAAGTCTTGGAAACATCATCTTTCCAAAATTGGAAATGTCTTGGAAACATCATCTTTCCAAGACATTTCCAAGCTTGGAAAGATGGATTTTTTTTCCAGTGGATAATCCTAATTAGTTGATTATCATACATGTAGGCATTTTGAAACTAAATAAAAAGCAGACGATCTGCTGATACTTATAGTGAATTTATAACAGAACTGTAATGCCTAGACATTTTATAGTTCTGTTAAATGCTACGACAAATGAATAAAAACAAAATGCAAATATTAAAATTAAAACAGATTAAAGTTATAGGAACAATGTCAGGCTATTACCTTGTTCGAGGAATGTATCCATCAATATCCACAAAAACGAGTGATATGCCATTCATCTGCAGCTGTTCCAAGTGATGTGTCTTTTAACAGTTTAATATACGAAAAAGTGATAAATCTTTTCAGGTATTTCACATTGGTGTATAGTCTCATTGGTCACCCAAGATAGCACACCTGGCAACTAATTGCATTATGTCCGCCTTTCTTTCAAAACAGTAATTTAGTTAGCCAATAGTGGGCAATCAATCAATGTATTGCTGGTTAATCCTTTGAAAGAAGGACGTTTTTACGCAGACACCGACACGACAGAGTGTATTCAGTATAGATTAGTAAATCTACATACATAAACACTACCTTTTGACAAATCCGCTGTATAAGATAAAAGTAATTAATCAATCAGTGTGTTATCGGTTAATCCTTTGATCGATGTTTATAATGTTGAATATTTACTCCAGACACAAGAAATGCCAAATGGGAACCTTTGTCGCGTAATCTAAGCGTGTTACCACTAATTATACCTGTTATAAATTCATTAACTGACCATCAAGTGAATGATGACAAATAACATGTGTAGGTATATACCACCTAACACGGGTTACAACAAGGGAGTATTAATTGCTGTATTGCATGTGAAAACCTATGGGCAGACACTGTTTTGAGAATACAAACAGATTTTTACATCACATGATTAAATATCGAGGTAAAAAAACACAGAAATAGGATCAATTTGGATCAGTCATTATACAAATAAGGCCTAAAGACACCAAGCAATTTTGACAGAATCGTCTATGAAAACAAGTTGTAACTCAGAAACTAGGCAAAGCAGGAGACAAAATTAAATGACAGTAGATTGTGAGAACATACAGCTTTAATTTTCCACAACAATTGTCATGATTTCAGGTTTATACAAACCTGTAAAAAAGATAATTTACCCCCTGAAATGTAGATGAATTCTGCATCGGCCCTCATATCTATTCCTCATATGACGTCACAGAGACGCCCCGCTCTGATTGGTTGAAATTTCGTTCGCGGGGGGGGAGAATTGTGCACTGTTGTCAAAAAGGTCGATTTAAGTTAATTAAAGACCGAAGTGAGTAGTTTTAATGACGGGGTTTCATTTATAGCGATGCCAGTTAGTGATTTATGTATTTGTACCCCCCTAGAGTATATGTGATCTTTAAGAAATGTTGATTGATAAATATATGTAACTGAAGTAGTGAATTTTTTCTGTAACAGTCTTCTTATTCATTTTAGTCAACTTCAATCAAAGATTGTGCGAACAAAGTGCGAGACAGCAGTCAACAACTGGAATCCCTCACAGACAAGGTAAGCCGAGTCCCTTCTTTAACATCCATGTAACAAGTGTGTGTAGTCAAATATATATAACAACCTGATGCAGCAACCCCCTTGTACCCTGTGGTGACTCCCCTTCAAACTCCAGTGTTCATGAAAAGCATCGAACCGTGGACGTTCCTGATGGAAGAAGTTACTCTGGTCATCTGTTGGATAAGTTTGCAGTATGTTCAAGATGAGAAACAATATAACTACTTATGTAGCTTCTCTTCAGCTTTCAAAGTAACTCTTACCCACATATACTACCATCAAAAGTTTAGACTCATTTAAATCACTCACTATATGTTATGTATATATTATTATGTGGTTACATTGAAGATTAATTTCTCCACTAACTTGGGGGTAACCAACTACAAACATGCAAATGAATTGCACGAGGATCATGCATCAAATTGCTGAAAAGCATGTGCAAATATCGTGCATGTGAACAGCTGCATTTTGGTGTAAAGTTTAGTTTTGTTAGGAATTTGCCAATTTTTACTGAGTTTCATCATTTATTGAACTCATAGCAATAATCTTTTCAGTGTTTTGAATTTGTTTTACAAGACATCAGTTCATGTATAAACAGTACGTATAAACAGTATGGAATATTTTGCAAAATCTAGATTAGAATAGTTGACTGAAGTAAGTGGCTACATTTACACTAGCAAGTCTAAACTTTTGATGGGTAGTATATGTTGGTCATGAATAGTGAGCTGTCTGGGATTTGATTTTGAAAGTTGAAGGCTAAATATAACTAATCAAGCCCAATGCATGAAATGAACAATGTTTCAGAGTACATGACTTAAAGATATAAAATTTGTAACAACCTTCACCATTCAACCAACTTAAAGAGGAACTTACATTACTTCATGACCATATATACTGAATCAGTACATGCAGGGTATAAACTACCAAAACTATCAATAAAACCCCTTTTATCCCCCGCAACGCGTTTTTCGGGGGGTATTAAAATGGACTCGGTCCGTGCACATTTGTCTTTTCCGGAGCAGAACTCTAAAACCGTTCACTATTTCTTCACCAAACTTGGCACATAGATAGATCTGGTGGTGTACTGGTGCCTTTTGGTAGTTTTGGAATTCTGAATCAAATAGTTTTTGCGTTTTTCGCGTTTCCATGGCAACAAGTTTGACTTAGACTGAAATTGGTGGTAGTGCTCTTTTCCGGAGCAGAACTCTAAAACCCTTCAATATTTCTTCACCAAACTTGGCACCTAGATAGATCTGGTGGTGTACTGGTGCCTTTTGGTAGTTTTGGAATTCTGAATAAAATATATTTAGCGTTTCCATGGCAACAAGTTCGACTTTGACTGAAATTATTGGTAGCGCTCTTTTCCGGAGCAGAACTCTAAAACCGTTCACTATTTCTTCACCAAACTTGGCACATTGATAGATCTGGTGGTGTACTGGTGCCTTTTTGTAGTTTTGGAATTCTGAATAAAATATTTTTGTCATTTCCATGGCAACAAGTTTGACTAAAACTGAAATTAGTGGTAGTGCTCTTTTTCTCCGGAGAACTCTTAAACCGTTCAATGTTTCTTCACCAAACTTGGCACATACATAGATCTGGTGGTGGACTGGTGCCTTTTGGTAGTTTTGGAATTCTGAATAAAATACTTTTGGCATTTCCATGGCAACAAGTTTGACTTAGCCTGAAATTGGTGGTTGTGCTCTTTTCTGGAGCTGAACTCTAAAACCGTTCACTATTTCTTCACCAAACTTGGCACCTAGATAGATCTGGTGTTGTACTGGTGCCTTTTGGTAGTTTTTTGAATTCTTAATAAAATAATTTTGGCATTTCCATGGCAACAAGTTTGACATAGACTGAAATTGGTGATAGTGCTCCTTTCTGGAGCAGAACTTTAAAAACCTTTCAATACTCTCCTTCAACTTTTCTATATACACACCTAAATATTTGACATAATCATAACTCGTAGACATAATCATGAAGAGCATTTTGCCATTGCGGGGGATATTGATGACTTTGTCTTCTTGTTACCACATTACATGCTGGGGAAAATAGTCGACGGCTCGTCCGTCCGTAATCATTTTGTTTCCGGAGCATATTTCAAAAACCGTTCAATATTTTTCAACAGAAATTGGTAGATATATCAAACAGAACCTAAAGTGGTGCCATTTGCTATTTACAGATTTTTGTCATTTTTATTTGTCTTGGTTTCCATGGAAACGATTTGAACTTAGTCTCAAAATGAGGGTGACCTTCATTTCCGGAGAATGACTCGAAAACCGTTCAATATCTTTCTTCAAGACTTGGTAGATATATCAAACATAAGCTAAAGTGGTGCCTTTTGCTATTTGCAGGTAGGGGCGGTGGGGTAGTCTAGTGGTTAAAGCATTGGCTCGTCACGCCGAACACCTGGGTTCGAATCCCCACATGGGTACAATGAGTGAAGCCCATTTCCGGTGTCCCCCGCTGTGATATTGCTGGAATATTGCTAAAAGCGGCGTAAAACCAAACTCAGTCAGTCAGTATTTGCAGGTTTTTGTCATTTTAATTTTTCTTGGTTTCCATGGGAATGTTTTGGACTTAGTCTCAAAAGGGAGGGGTGGGTTTTGTTCCGGATCACAACTCAAAAACTGTTCAATATCTTTTTACAAGACTTTATAAATATATCAAACAGATCTTTTGCTATTTGCAGATTTTTGGCATTTTTATAATTTTTAAACTTATCCTATCTCACGACTTGCACCTCTCTCTCTTCATTTGACCATGAGTGGAAACGAATTAAACTTTGCTCCAGGCCTACCTTGTCCTTGTCCCCATGCTGTGCATGCCTTCCTGCCTTAGCCATGCTCACTAGTCCATGACAGCCAGCCAACGGGAGCAAGCATGTCTACATGCTCTAAAAACGTCCTTGATAAGGGAGCACATTCCCGACAACGTTTGCTCCAGTTCGCCCCACCCTACCTGCTCGCCGTTCTAAATCTCTCGTCTCTCCTAACGAAGATTTTATGGACGCTTCGTCTGATTCCTATTTTTCTGAGAATGTTAAAGGCTTTTTGAGACGCTTCCCTCACCTAGCTCAAGTTCTCATGGGCATGCAAGGGTGGTAATGACTGATATTTCCGATACACAAGACCTGCGATCTACTTTATCTCGTAGATCTGTTTCCTCGGACCGTTCACAGTCATCGAAAACTTCTAAATCCAAGCATTCATCATCGAAGCGTGGATCGGCGCGGTTGGAACGTAACCGTTCTGCTATTCGTACGGTTTCATCCCACCGAAACAATTCACCCACACGAGTTGAGTTGAACATCTGGTTCGGAGGATCGAATTCGTTCTTCTACTGCTGGGAAGTGTCGTTCTAGATCTCGTTCACGCTCGAGCTCTCGTCGTCCTTCCAATGTACCAGTCCGAACCGATTCACCACCTCGATTCATTTCACCAATGAGAATTGGGTCTAATGCCAGTGTTGGTTCACTAGAACGGAACCATTCACCTAGCCGTGTCATTGCCAAGGGTCGAACGAGTTCACTCAGCCGAGCCAGCTCACCCTACCGAACTGATTAACTTAATCGAATGAATTCACCAGGACGAACCGGTTCACATTCCCGACTCAATTCACCTCAGTTTCAGTTCGACTCACCATTTCATAGTCGAATCAATTCACCACAGCATTTTGATTCACGTAGTCATTCAGTCTCACCTAGTCGAAGTGGTTCGCCATTTGGATCTGGTTCACCTAGCCGTACGGTGTCTTTTCGTCAGAGTGATTCTCGTAGTCGGTCTCATTTACCTCAGGTGAATCAGGATATCCCGTCTAGTCAGTCTAGAGCTAGTGAGCACTTGCGGTCAGCGCCTTTACGTGATAGTTCCCCTCATCAACATCGTTCTGTGCGGGTGGTTTCACCTGCTAGGCTGCGTTATGGTTCAGTGGATCGGCGTTCACCTTCACGCCATGCCACTTCTACTTTGCCTCGGTCACAGGTTATTGCTGAGTCTTGGAATCCTGCACTTGATTCCTCTCCAGCGCCGGATTTAGACACCATGCTTCGTGCTGTTGACCCTAAGTAGCGTAATTTTGTGCACACTGTAACAATATTTACTTCCTCGGATCCCCACTCGTCATGTGTGGGTTGTATTGACCAGTGTTCCTGGAGCAAACGTTGTCGGGAATGTGCTCCCTTATCAAGGACGTTTTTAGAGCATGTAGACATGCTTGCTCCCGTTGGCTGGCAGACAGAGCTCATTACACTTCAACAGTTGATCACCCGACAAACCCCCGCTTTTACCGCCCAATATTAACTGTTCGTCGTCCGGAGATTCCCATGAGTTTTTGGGCGCATCATCAGATGTCTACTCGTCGTTCCGCCTCATCAAACCACTCTGTGTTGCCAGCTGACTCACACAGCCGAACTACATCATCACATCGCCGAACCAGACACCACACCGAACCAATTTACCACACCGAACTGTTTCGCCACTACGTATGTAGATAACGACATGGACTCAATTCGCCATAATATTAAGACTATACACCTTCACAACAGTACTCACCACTATCTCTCCTGCGTGTATATATACACCTTCACAACAGTACTCACCACTATCTCTCCTACATGTATATATACACCTTCACAACAGTACTCTTCCTACATGTATATATACACCTCACCACTCTCTCTCCTACATGTATATATACACCTTCACAACAGTACTCACCACTGTCTCTCCTACGTATGTATATATACACCTTCACAACAGTACTCACCACTATCTCTCCTACATGTATATATACACCTTCACAACAGTACTCACCACTATCTCTCCTACATGTATATATACACCTTCACAACAGTACTCACCACTGTCTCTCCTACATGTATATATACACCTTCACAACAGTACTCACCACTATCTCTCCTACTGCATGTATATATACACCTTCACAACAGTACTCACCACTATCTCTCCTCTCCTACATGTATATATACACCTTCACAACAGTAT